GCAGGAACAGCCAGTTCCAGTTCTTTTCTTGATGTACGGCTGCTCATGAAACCTGAGCATTAAGCTAAACCCTCAAGTATAATCTTAGCTTAGTATAGGATAGGATAGGAGAAGCTAGTCTGGTAAAGAGTTTGGGCTTTGGTGTTTAGGGGGCTAGACAGAGGACCAGGGATTGCAAGAGGGAGAACCCCTGAACCCTAATCGTTAAAGCCGAAGCCCTTTAGGGGTTGTTGCATGGCAACTTTACCTTGGGGTTGCGGATCCAGGCCCTGCGCGTGCGGAGAGGTTTAGGGTTTAGGGGTTTAGGGGTTTAAGGGTTTAAAGGGGTTTAGGGTTTAAGGGTTGAGGGTTTAAGGGTTTAAGGGTTTAGGGGTTTAGGGTTTAGGGTTTAGGGTTTTTGAGCCCGAACCCGGACAACCGGAACAACCTGAAGCCGTAACGCAGGGGGCGTTCGTAGTACAGTTATAGGAAGAAAGCCAGCCTCAAATCCCCATAGACCCTTCACTTACAGAACCCTTATGACTCCGAAGCCAGCAAATTAAGCACAGCTTGAATTGTGGAATTTAGGGTGAAGGGCGTTAGGAAACCAGGAGTCACAGGATATCAGCACGAACTTCTCACTTGTTATCCTTGTTGTACTTCTATGATGATGATGACACATTGTGAGTTTTGTTATCGTTATGTCAAAAACTTACTACTGCTTCTTATTATCACACTCTGAGTGTTACACTCTTGCTATCACCGCTACAATAATACCATCATGCCTCCTGCTGTTATTACTGAACTCACTGTTCCTTGTTGTAAAGGCTGTTTGGGTGCTACCTTTTCGAGAATTGAGTTTCCGAGATGAACAAAATCCTGTTATAGAGCTTTAGGGTTTCGGGTTTGAGGTGTAGGGTAGGAGGACCCCCCATTTTAGGTCCCAAAGAGTGGGCGCACAGCGATGTCCTACAGAACTGCACGACGCTTTGCGAGCATTTTCAACGTGGTTCCAACAAAGGCCTTCAACGCCAAGTTTTTATCATGAATGTTGCTCTTATCTGGACTTTCGCAGACGGTTCTGGCTCTTGAATTCAGAGGACCTTCAGTTACGTGCACGAATCAGGCGGTCTAGAACCACATGGTATTCGCATGTCGATTCTTTTCTCTTAGGATGTTCGAATGTCGAAGAGGCCGAATCGGAGGTCACCCAAAAACGTTGGAGTCGAAGCTGACACCCCAGAGTCTTCAGTTGGAGGATGACACCTCCGGCCAGAGACAGGCGAACCTTCCAGGTGGGTCAGGGTGTTTGAGTTGCAGGTTGCAAAAGAGCTGATTATTGGGAATACACCTTCGTCCAAGGAGATCCTAAAGCATCCTCAACAAACAATCAACCAGCCCTTTGGTTGCGGGTGGGAGCTTAGTGCTTTGTGTCTACGGTCCGGGTTTGCCGTTTGCTGGAGTTTAGGAGCTAGGGGGTTTAACATCAAAACTCAGGGTTTCAGGTCTTTTTTGAGTTCGGGCTGATGTGAGGCGGCTGTTGTTTCAGTTCGAGATTTCGCGGCTTTGCAGGTTTCCTACTTTGCTTTGAAGCCCCATGAAATTGTTTTTGGTTCGTTGCTTCCAGGTGACACATGCATAGCCATGATAGTACGGTGTATCAAAGTCCAGGGGCTTGAATCCGAGAAGTGCTTGCGGGGGATCGCGGCTTCAAGGTTTACGGGGTTTTGGTGTTTCAAACCGTGGCTGCTGCAAGTAGTAGTTAGCTTCCAGAACAGTGCAGGTGAAAGGGGTTTGCGGAAGGTTCCATACCCTCAGCTGGAAACCCGAAACCCCAAGCCTCAGGTCTTCAGGTCCTAAGGCCCTCAGGTTTAAACCGAACGGCCAGAAAGCGCTGAAACCGTAAAAATCGGAAGCCTGCAGCCCTGGCCCTGACTCCAAGCCACAATCTTTTTCAAAACCGAAAGCCCAAACGCCCTCGCGTCCCAAACCCAACAAAACCTCCAAAGGCTTTCAAGAGACATCACCCAGCCCGAAGCCCACATTTTGCAGGTTTCCTCGGGCTGCTGACGCGCTGCCCGCCGGATCCTCTGCTTTGGGTCGACAGCAGGTCGTAAACGTTCAGAAGTTTTCAGGGTTTTCCGGCCTTCAGTTGCAGGGTTTTTACGCGTACAAAACCGAACACCTTAAACCCTGAACCCTAAACGCCAAACCCTAAACCCTGAGCTTGGTGCCTAAGCTCCTGCAAGGCGTAGCGTTTAGGCCTTAGAGCGGCTAGTGGCCTAGCGACTCCACGGCTTCGTGGTTAAGGAGTCTACTTTATGGCAATATAGGGACCTTGGGAATCAGAGCCAGGGTCCTTTCAAGGGTTCCTGTGCAGAGGTGATTATACGGGATCTATATAGTATTAACGTCGGAAGGGGGTTTTGGGGTAGAGCAAATTATCGTGTATTCATAATGAGGAAGGCTACGGCAGAACTATGCCGAGGTTTCTTAAAGATTTTGGCGTTAACATCAAGGTTGTACTTTTCCATGTTAGAAGGATCCTTAACCCCATGATTTCAGGTGCGATACATAAATAGACGGGCTTGTGGATCGTCAGGTTTCGGGCTTTGAGTGAGAGTTTTGTAGGCTAAGGCTCCGGGTGAGGGTTTGAGGCTCAATGCTTAGGGCTTGGGGTTTTGGACTTGGGGTTCACGATTCAGGCTTAGTGCTTGAGCGTTCGAGGGTTCAGTGGACAGGCGTTCTCATAATATGTCGGTACATGTATGGAGGCCGTGTCGGCGAGAAGGATTCTTGGGCAGCTGCGGGCTAAGCCGGCCAGAGCCCTAAGCTCTAAAACCTCTAAACCAGGGCTTGTGTCCCATCGATACCCTAAACTTAGGCCTAAACCCTAAACCCTAAATCCTAAATCCTAAACCCTAAACCCTTTGAAGCGTGATCCAAAGCGCAACCACTGGAACTCGACACTGCCAGGCTCGTGCAGGGCGCCCTCGCCAGCACAGCACTGGAATCGGCATCGGACCCTTGGGGGGGGCTGCCTTTAGGGTTTAGGGGTTTAGGGTTTAGGGTTTAGGGTTTAGGGTTGGTTTAGGGTTTAGGGTTTAGGGACAACCCTAAACCCGCTAAGCCCTACGGGGAGCAGCAGATAGAGTCATGTGGCAGTTCGCAAGAAAGCTGTTGTATTAGCGGCGGAGACATGCCAATATGTCATGTCCCAAAAAGGAGGCATGGTAGTAGGTTAAGGTAGTCAGAAGCACAAACATTTGTGCAAGTACACATCGAATCGCCAGTGCAGATTAATTACCGGGTGTTTGTGCACAGCAGACCTGCAAACCCCGAAGTTTCAAGTCTACAGATGCACATGTGGGTGGTCCAAGTTAGGTTTCCATTTTTTGGAGGTGTCAGCCTTTTCAAAAGGAGACTTAAAGGGACCCATATTTAGATAGCTACCTGGCTCATATGAGAGAGATATCTGTCGGCGATCAGGGATAACAGATACCACGCCCGAATCTTGTGGGCTACCTCAAGCAGAGCAGCAAAGAAGCCTTGTTCACCCATGCTACCGTGGATCCCGAATTCGTAAACTCTAATAAACCCTAAACCCCTACACTTTGAACCCCCGAAGCTGTAAACCCTAAGCCGGTAAACCCAAACCCCAAAGCCCAGACCCTAATTCCTAAGCCCGTGAACAAAACGAAAAGGCAACATCCGAAATCCAAGCTGCAACCCAAGCCCACCACCGTTCACTCCAAAGCCCGTATCCCGAAGCTGCATCCAGTCCCTAAACCAGCTTAGATAGCCAATGGGAGAACTTTAAACTTTTTGGCCTGAGGTCCATCCTAAAAAGTTTGAACTTTGTTGGGTGTGGTTGTTGAAGAAGACCCTAAACCCTAAACCCTAAACCCTAAAGAAGAGAGCCAGTGAGCCCGAAATCCTGAAGCCAGGGTTCAGAGCTTGCGAGGTTCGGCGTGTTGCATGTGCGGAGATACAGGGGTTTAGGAGTTTCGGGATGTAGAAATTAGGGCCCCTGATCCCTAAACCCTAATCCTTAAGCCCTCAACCCTAAACTCTAAACCCTAAACCCTAGACCCTACATTAGGGCATCGTTGTTTCGGTGGAGTCTCGGGGCTCTTGCTTTGGGAGTTTTGAAAACGCACAAGGATAAGGAGCTGCGCGGCTAGGGAAGCTGCCAAGGTTAGGTGTGGTGACTAGGCTTCAAGGTTTCGGGTTTAGGGCTTACAGTTTGGGGTTTAGGGGTTTAGGGTTTGCGGTTGGGGTTCAGGGTTTAGGTACCCTGCCTTTTTTGAAGCGTCGGGGCTGCAAGAGTTGCTGCAACATTAGGAGCGTTTCTATTCATGCCCACAAGAACAGGTACGATGCTCCTACTTTTGATACGGTTGATGATATAAATCCTGCAGTACCCATAATAAGGAATAGTCCACAATTCCCCTAGTTTAGGGTCCTTAAGGTAATGCAGGATGTATATCATCAGCAGTACCTGTGATGTTGGGTTAGTGCTGCACAACCCGGCTCCAGCTTGGCCTTCTTCGTAGGCTGCCACGCCTCAACCCCCCAAACCTCCAGCCCATGACGGATTGCATAAGCCCCAAACGTAGACCCTAAACCCTAAACCCTAAGCCCTCAGCCCTAAGCCCTAAGCCCTGAACCCAAGATTGTTTGAGGACTCCCGGCTTGCTCCGGTTGAGATCTGTAGGCACTGCTAGCATGTAGATTCTATAGATTTTTCGAATACTTAGTCAGAAATGCCTCCTGTAGTCACTGTACAGCATTAGTTTTCTAAAGTATACCCCACTCTCGTTTAGGGCTTAAGGTTTGGGGTTCAAGGTTTAGAGATGTCTACGGTTTTCGGGTTTACGATCTTGGCTTCTTGAAACTCGGTGTGCCTTGTCTGTCCTTATAAGAGAGCCGCTGCGAATTGATGGTCTGTGGTAGGGCCTCTTTACTTTCCGAAACTCCCAAAGACACCCGCATGTGCCGGCCGCTGCCTGGGCATGCGCATGCCCGCGCGCTCGCACTCTGCGGTGCTATGGCGAGGTCTCCGGTATCTGTGGTTCCATTTCCTTTTCTTGGCTCTCATCTACTTGCGGGTCCCTCCTGAAACTTGCGGCTTGGGGAAGCAGGGGCCGCTGCGGCTCTTGCGCCAGCAGGCGGGGCTCGAGCTGCGGACGAAGATCAACAATCCGAACATGAGCTTCAGTCCAGAGGCCAGGCAATCATAAACATATACCTAATATTGATAACAATAATAATAATAACAACAACAATAATAATAGTAATAACAACAATAATAATTATTATTAATAATAATAATAGAATAGTAGTAAAGAAAATGTGCAGAAACAATATTAATAACCATAATAGATATTAATTCAGTCCAGAGGCCAGGCGACTGATTCCGCAGATCGCGAACGCCCGGGAGCGGGGAGACTGGCGGAAGGTGGGGAACCTCTTTGAAAGTTATACCGGCAACGAGCTTCCTGTGCTTCATGCGGTGCTCCACGCAGCATACAGCTGCGGCCAGTACCGGGCCGGGGCCAAGATCTACGACAAGATCTGCGATCTGAACATCACGCAGGACGCGGCTTCCCTAAACCCTAAACCCTAAACCCTAAAACCCTAAAGCCCTAAACCCTAAACATCACGCAGGACGCGGCTTCCTTTGGTACGGCCATGAAGGTCTTCGCCAAGCTTTCTGAGCCCGAACGTGTTGGGGAGATCCTGGGATCGGGGTTTAAATTTAAGTTACCATAATAAGGAAACCCTATGATTTACTGTAGATCCCTACTATGGTAGTAAGGAAACCCTACTATTTACTACAGATCCCTATTATGGTATAACTTTAAATTAAATCCCTAACCCTAAGTCCTAAACCCTAAACCTAAGACCCTATTCCCTTATTATGGTAGCTTAAATTAAATCCCCTTAAAAACAAGAGCCCAGGATCTGGGCCCAGGCGCGGCGCTCCTGCGACCTCGACGAGCTACTCGCGGCGGCTCGGATCGATGCTGCTGCGGCCTTTGGGGACATCGAAACTGGGCTCTTGTTAGGGGACTTCTAATATTAAGTTACCATAATAGGGATCTATAGTAAATAGTAGGGTTTCCTTATTATGGTAACTTAAATTAAAGGGATCTATAGTAAATAGTAGGGTTTCCTTGTTATGGTAACTTAAAACTAAATACATCCCTTAACAAGAACCCAGGAGACGGCGGCGGGGATCCTCGATGAGATGAACCGCAGCGGCGTCTCGATCAACATCGCGCATGTCACCTCCGCGATCCGAGCCTGCTGGGAGTCGAATCTCAGTGGCCGAGTATAGGCAACCTTTAACCTTTTTATAACTTTTTTGGGGCCTCTAGAACCCTACCATAATTGAAAAGGTTATATCCTTTAACCTTTTATAAGTCTAAATTTTTGGGGCTTCTAGAACCCTACCATAATTGAAGAGGTTAATTAACCTTGTTCTTGGGGCTGTATAACTTTTTTGGGGCTTATGGAACCCTAATATAATTGAAAAGGTTATATCCTTTTTTTCGGCGAATGTACTGAGTCCCCCAAAAAGGAATCGTTCGAGCCACCATGCCGCTGGGTTTCTTTTCAACTGGGCGCTGGAGATGGACCTGCAGCCAAACGTTGCTGGGGTTTTGTTAAAGGATCTAGTTTGAGTTATCACAAAAAGGGATCTATAGCAAAACATTATCCATAATAGGGATCTATAGCAAAAAGTATGGTTTTCTTGGGATCTAGGGTTTAGGGTTTAGTTTAGGGCTTAAGTTACCATAATAGGGATCTATAGCAAATAATATGGTGTCTCTGTTATGGTAACTTAGCTTTATTAAGTCCCTTGCAAGAAGAGCCCCAGGTTGTCACCTTCACCTGTTTGATGGGGGCCTTTGCCAGGGCCCCCCTTGCCAAGGTGCTGCAGGCCCACGAGACGATGCCGGGCTCTGGTGAAGGAGTTAAAACCCTAAACCCTCAAACCCTAAAACCCCTAAACCTAAAACCCTAAAGCCCAAAACCCTAAACCCTAAAACCTTTTAGTCTAAATTGCCATAGCAAGGAAACCTCACTAGACCCTAATATAGGGGCCTTAATGATTAGAAATAAGGTTTGGGGTATGTTGTAGTATAATTTAAACGCTGCGCGTC